GATCGACCTCGACCTCTCCGTCTCTGACCTCGACCTCTCCGTCTCTGAACTCTGAACTCTGAAGTCCGTCTCTGATGTGAGAGTCACCAAGGTCGAGCCCAATCCCCATAGTCTCTGCAGCTAATTTCAGAGGTGGGTTTTGCGAGGAGAGGGCTGGAGCTGTGGTGGATGAATTGTCTAAGAGCTATACGTGTGTGATTTCGCATTTCGGAAACAATTTGACATCGAAGCGGGTTTATTTCGATGATAAGCTGAGTTGGGTTGTGGATGATCCTAATGCTGGTATGGTGGTGGCCCCTGGGGTGTTCTCTACTTCTCCATGGAGTATTGGTGAAGTGGGAAGAGAGTTTTGGGCTTCCGATTTTCTCAGTTGTTGTTATCTTTGCAAGAAGCAGCTTCATGGACTGGACATTTTCATGTACAGGTAAAAACAAAAGTTATATATACATACATTATATACACACACACACACAGACATATGTATATATGTTCTCTTGATGTATAGTTACGAGTTAATCACTTTTGATGATTGATTTTGGTGAAGCGTGATTTAGGAAATCGTGGATTTTGAACCACGTTGTTGATTTTGAATATGGGATTAGTTTTTGCTTATTGATTATGTTGTGCAAACTGGTCAATCTGTAACATAATTTTTGGTCTCTGGTAAGTTGTCGGTCTAGGCAGGAGGATGTGATTCATGGATCTGCATCAGCAGCTATAGTATTTCTCCTCGTATTTGTAATTTTTTGTTTCAAGTAGAGGGTTACCTTTCAAGTAAATGTGGATGGGAAACCAGAATATTATTTTCATCTTTGAAGTGTTTGTTTCTCATTTATACTGTCATGACTCATGTCATTTTCTTCTGGTGCAGTTCCGCGCAGCTATTCAGTTGCAGTTTGATTTCCATCGAGCAATTTACAATCTTGGAACCGTATTGGTTAGTTTGTTACTTATCTTAATAATTTTAGGATAATGTGATACTCCATTCATAATTTAAATGGACTCTCAGTTTCCTCTATAGTGGATAACAAGAAACCACTGGTTCTCTTATCTAATAATCCCCCGTAACTTGAATTACCAAACCTTGGTCTTTTTCTTACTTGCAGTACGGATTGGCTGAGGACTAGGCCTGGCAAACGGGTCGTGTCTGTCGTGTTCGTGTCGTTTTCGTGTAACACCTGTTATCTTAACGGGTCGTGTCGTGTCACACCCGTTATCTTAACGGGTCCTTAACAGGTCATGTCACTTTACCCAACGGGTAAAGTGACCCGACCCGTTATGACCCGTTAAGAAAAATATATATTTTTTTACAATTTGCACATACCACACATTGCGACATAAATATTACTTGAAAACATTAAAACATTTCTCGTTCAAGTACTATATCTACACTCGAAAATGAAAGCCTAATAAAAAAAATAATACATACACTACTAATCTATTACAAATATTAAATGTATATAATTATTAATATTATAGTTGATTCATACTTTTATTAAGTATATAAATTCCACTAGTGTAAATATTTTAAATTGAAGATCAAATTCATTCTTTGTATTCATATAGGGTCAAGGAGTGTAGCTGTTAAAATTCATCAAAATCAGAGTTAAAATAACCGTTAAATCTTGATTTTTCGTTTATAACCGTCGAAAAGCTTTGTCCCGTTACTTGATCTCTGAATGTTTTTTTTTTGTGATTTTTTGCTGATGTGATCTCCAAGCATATACAAACAATTTTGACGGTTTGGATCGTTGAAATTAGTTTTGGAGAATTCGTAAAACGATAGATTGACTAACACTTAGAGTTTATTTATACTTTCATTAAGTATAACATAAGATTTTGTGGTATCCACTTGTGTAAATATTTTAAATTGAAGATCGAATTCATTCATTGTATTCATATAGGGTCAAGGAGTGTAGTTATAAAAAATCATCAAAATCGGAGTTAAAATAACCGTTAAATCGTGATTTTTCGATTATAACCGTTGAAAACCTTTGTCCCGTTACTTGATCTCTGAATGTTTTTTTTTTTTGTGATTTTTTGCTGATGTGATCTCCAAGCATATACAAACAATTTTGACGGTTTGGATCGTTGAAATTAATTTTGGAGAATTCGTAAAACGATAGATTGACTAACACTTAGAGTTTATTTATACTTTCATTAAGTATAACATAAGATTTTGTGGTATCCACTTGTGTAAATATTTTAAATTGAAGATCGAATTCATTCATTGTATTCATATAGGGTCAAGGAGTGTAGTTATAAAAAATCATCAAAATCGGAGTTAAAATAACCGTTAAATCGTGATTTTTCGTTTATAACCGTTGAAAACCTTTGTCCCGTTACTTGATCTCTGAATGTTTTTTTTTTGTGATTTTTTGCTGATGTGATCTCCAAGCATATACAAACAATTTTGACGGTTTGGATCTTTGAAATTAGTTTTGGAGAATTCGTAAAACGATAGATTGACTAACACTTAGAGTTTATTTATACTTTCATTAAGTATAACATAAGATTTTGTGGTATCCACTTGTGTAAATATTTTAAATTGAAGATCGAATTCATTCATTGTATTCATATAGGGTCAAGGAGTGTAGTTATAAAAAATCATCAAAATCGGAGTTAAAATAACCGTTAAATCGTGATTTTTCGTTTATAACCGTTGAAAAGCTTTGTCCCGTTATTTGATCTTTGAATGTTTTTTTTTTGTGATTTTTTGCTGATGTGATCTCCAAGCATATACAAACAATTTTGACAGTTTGGATCGTTGAAATTAGTTTTGGAGAATTCGTAAAACGATAGATTGACTAACACTTAGAGTTTATTTATACTTTTATTAAGTATAACATAAGATTTTGTGGTATCTACTTGTGTAAATATTTTAAATTGAAGATCGAATTTATTCATTATATTCATATAGGGTCAAGGAGTGTAGTTATAAAAAATCATCAAAATCGGAGTTAAAATAACCGTTAAATCGTGATTTTTCGTTTATAACCGTTGAAAAGCTTTGTCCCGTTACTTGATCTCTGAATGTTTTTTTTTTTGTGATTTTTTGTTGATGTGATCTCCAAGCATATACAAACAATTTTGACGGTTTGGATCGTTGAAATTAGTTTTGGAGAATTCGTAAAACGATAGATTGACTAACACTTAGAGTTTATTTATACTTTCATTAAGTATAACAAAAGATTTTGTGGTATCCACTTGTGTAAATATTTTAAATTGAAGATCGAATTCATTCATTGTATTCATATAGGGTCAATGAGTGTAGTTATAAAAAATCATCAAAATCAGAGTTAAAATAACCGTTAAATCGTGATTTTTCGTTTATAACCGTTGAAAAGCTTTGTCCCGTTACTTGATCTCTGAATGTTTATTTTTTATGATTTTTTGTTGATGTGATCTCAAAGCATATACAAACAAGTTTGACGGTTGGGATCGTTGAAATTAGTTTTGGAGAATTCGTATGCCATCAATCAAGTTCCGTGTGTGTGTGTGTATATATATATATTTATTAAGTAGATTTAAATCTATTTATTTTGTACGTATAAATTATAATTGACTGGTACACGGAATAGTACATACATCACGTATCATTATAAAAATAGTGAGATATGTCATGACAGTCATGTGTGTGATAAAAAGTTAATAACTTAAAAAAAAAAAAATTCTCACCACTTCTATTAATTTTCATTTTTCCCTCTTTTTTTTGTTTCCTTTTCAACTTTTTCTTATCATTTTCACTTTTCCCTCCAACATCTTTCCCTAATTCCCTCATTTTTTTGTTTTATTTTCAACTTTTCTTAACATTTTCATTTTCCCTCCATTTTTTTTTTCAAAAAGGCGGCAAGTTGGCAAATGCATGATCATGATTCATGCATATTAAATTATTAATTAATATGCATTAGAGTTTTTATAAAATTTAATATATATATATATATATATATATAATTAGTATAGATAGACTTAATATTTTGGGGGTATAATTATTATAGTATATATAATAATTATAATTATTATAAATTTTATAGTTAATTTAATATATATATATATATATATTTATTTATTATAATTTTTAGGGGTATAAAATTGTAAAATTAATGTATATAATTATTACAGTATTTTTTTAGGGTTATAAAATTATAAAAATAATATTCTGCTTATCGTGTATCGTGTTTACCCACGTGTATACCCGACCCAACCCGTTATCTTAACAGGTGCTTATCGGGTTACCCGATAAGACCCGATTCGTTATCGTGTCGACCCAAACACCTGTTAATTTCGTGTCGTGTCGTGTCGGGTTATCGGGTCGTGTCAGAAATTGCCAGGCCTACTGAGGACACACTAAGAACTGGGGGATCTGGACACCCCAAAGAAGTTTCACCTAATGAGTTGTATAGTCAATCGGCTATCTACATTGCAGCTGCTCATGCTTTGAAACCAAATTACAATGTAAGGTTCCCATAGTTTTCTTTCTCAACCAATTTGATTTGATATTTATATGGAGAAAAGGATATCCCTTCAGTGAGAGAGACTTAATTTTCCTAATTCTTTCAGTGGTCATACCTTGATGTCTGCTTAATCTCGTTGGTTGAGAGATTATATTTTTGGTTTGCTGACATGATAATTTCTAATCTTCACAGCTTCCTTTACCATATCTTAAAGTTGGATATCTTACTGATCGTGATCGTGATCTGACTTTACCACCTGACTTTACCACCTGGTGTTGGTGAATCTGTAGTTCTGTACAATTTTTTTTTTCTTTCAAACAGCAAAAAAAAAGAAAAAAAAAAAGAAAAAAGGGACCCGTGGACCCGGCCCGAACCGGCCCGTTTCAACCGGGCCGGGTAAGGTCCGGTTCTTATATTAAAAAATGTAATCCCCGGTCCGGTCCGCCCCGTTCCCTTTGAACTTAGGTCCGGTCCGGTCCCTTCAAAATTGGGCCCGGCCCGTGCCCAGCCCTATATAAAGCCCCACAAGCTTTGTATTCGGCATAGAACACTCTCTCTCTCTCTCTCTCTCTCTGGCCCCCTTTTTCTTTCTTTCCACAGAGTTCTTATCTCGCCGCACTCCTTCAATGGCTTCCTCTCTCCCTCTCTCTCTCCTCCTCCAAATCTCATGCATTTCCCTCCTATTGGCTCTGCTAATCTCACCCGCCGCACAAGCAGCCACCTGCACCTCACCGACATTCAAAAACAACAAGGTCTACTCCAACTGCAACGACCTCCCCGCCCTCAACTCCTACCTCCACTGGACGTACAACCGCTCCAACTCCTCCCTCTCCATTGCCTTCGTCGCCGCCCCCGCCAAGACCGGCGGCTGGGTCGCTTGGGCCATCAACCCCACAGCCGAAAAAATGGCCGGGTCTCAGGCCCTACTGGCCCACCTAACGACCGACGGCACCCCGGTCGTCAAAACCTACAACATCAGCTCCTACAGCTCCATCATTCCAGGAAATCTCTCGTTCGACGTCTGGGACATCAGCGCCGAGTTCTCCAACAGCACCTACATGATCTTCGCCACCGTCAAGGTCCCAGAAAACAAGGAGTCCGTCAACCAGGTCTGGCAGGTGGGCCCCGGAGTCAACACCACCACTGGTTTCCCTGAAAAGCATGACTTTGCCCCCGCCAATCTCAGGTCCTATGGCCTCTTGAACTTGGTAGCTAATGCCACCACTAACTCCACTACCAATACCACCTGTGGGGCTTTGAGGCCTAGGTGTGGAGGAAACATGGGCTTGTTTTCCGTTTTGTTTTCGGTTGGTAGAGCTCTCGCAACGGTTGGTGGAGCTCTCGCTGAATTTCTAAATTTGGTAAGCTTAGTTTTATTTTTTTACTCTTTTTACTCTTCTCGTGCTTAATATTAACGTGATTGAAATCATTGAGGTTGATTGTATCGATCGAAGAAGAGACGGAGGTTTCAGGCCTTTCGCACTTATTTAGGTGGAAGAATATTTGTTATTATATTCCATGATATTATGAATCCCACTTTGATTGAAATCTGCTTCTTATCTGTATTTTTTTCTGGATAAATATGAGAACAGAACATTAATTAAAATCGGTAGTTTGTGAGTAGAGAGATGCTGCTCGATTTAGTTTATACTGTTATATTAATACGTGGTGATCTTTAGGTTTAGATTTTTCCTATATTTTCAATTTTTGTGGCTCGTACTAGCTTTACTCTTTTGAAGAAATAAGATAACGACATTTAGCAAACGAAAAGGGTCAATTGAATCTGAAAGTGAACGGTAAATGTGTCACACATAAATAATCAGAACGAGGCAATCGCTTGACGAGCGAGAAAGGAACAGGGCCAATTACCACACGTTCGACCCGAAAGTCTACATACCAGAGTCACAATGTGAGGATATGCTAAGGTATATGTTTTTTCAAACGAACTAATAATACTTATTTTCTTTAGTCAATCGGTTAAAGAAAATGATCGATAAATAAAGATAACTAGAAGTAGCTAGACATTCGCGTGAGAAGTGAAAAAAAGAACATAACCAATTATCACATGTTGGATGAAATGTTTACACATTACATGGTCGTAATGTGAGAATGCTAGGGTTTACATACATTTCTAATGACCTAATGGTCATAATGTGAGGTTGCTAGGGTTCAAACTCTTCCTCAGCTAGCTTTGTGTAAATTAGTACTAGCCTTCATGCACGCGCGTGCAGGATATATTTTTTGAATTACGGAGTGTTACGCACGACTTACACGTTTTAAATATATTTATATACGTAAATTGACAAAAAAATATTTGAAGTAAATGAATAATCTTAGATCTACGGAGTGTTACGCACGACTTACACGTTTTAAATGTATTTATATACGTAAATTGACAAAAAATATTTGAAGTAAATGAATAAACTTAGATCATGCTAGAAGAAGCCCCTCATAAACCAATTAAAGCAGCTGAATTAACATAATAATATTGGTTTCTATAGAATTTACAATAAGAATAGAGAAAATAATATTTAATGAACAATTGATTTAAATCACATTATTGCTAGCCCATTGTGAGACTAAGTTCACCCTCCTCCTTAGTGTAGATAATATCGTTTGTTAAAAAAAAAATCATTTGACAACTAATTTAATTATATTATTATCAGCATGCAAAAGATTATATAAAATTCTTTTGCCGAAATTATTATATAAAATTCGATTACACAAGATTTTATTATCTAAAGGTCAATAATCATGGAATCCAAGTCAATATATATAAGCGAATTACCCAACCGAAGTACGCCACATCCCACCTCACTCCCCTAATTTTATATTTCAATAAATAAATAAAACTAAATGCTAATGGCTGAGGGAACACCAGCACTTGGAAAAATTTCTCCTGGACTGCCGACCACCTAATATTCAAATCTAGCAATTATGGAAAAGGGGTCAATTCTGCTTGGCCATGTCATAGTGACGCATTGCTGATTATAAATAGAAAAATTAAAAATTAAAATAAAGACAAAAACTAAACAACTATTGAAACGAGTTAAATGATATTACTTGAGCGGACGAGAAAATTTTATGTGTCATCGAGTATATGATTGTTGTGTGTAATTAGCGGAGTGAGTTATGTTTTTGTTAAGATAAAGTGTTATTATTATGTTTATTATTTAGAATTGTATTTATCACAGGCCGTAAATCATTGAAAAAAATATCTTTCGTCGCATAATATATTCTCTAACTGTAAGGTAGATTCTCTTCAAACTGAGCAATCGTGAAAATCTCTTTAAGATGAGGTTTGTGAAAATCTCTTTTGGTTACAATGGTCCCTTCACAAATTGTTTAGTGGGGCTTTCTGAGAATAGGACTTGTAGGTGTGCTAGTGCCACTAAATGGTATAGAGTGCATACATATCTTTCAACCTATGCCACAAGCTAGCGCATGCATTTTGGCACATCTTTCCTATGTACAAACAACCTTGGCCCTTAACTTCACGGCTGGCAAAGAGAACCCATACAAAGACATACAAAGCGTTTATGTGGATGAGGATACGAACTTGAGTGTAAGAGAGCAGATACATTGTCCTAGTTAACTGGCATAATTCAAATATGTGATATGCAATCACTTTCAATTAGAGAAACTATTGGGTTTATTTTAAACGGATGCAATCGCTAAAATTGGAGTGGGCTGGAGAACACTCGCACCTGACATTTCGAGCAATGCGTAAGAGGTGTAAATTACTATTATTACAAACTTGGTTGATTAAATCCACCTAATATCATGTCTATGTATTAGCTGGTCCAATATACTTCACAAGTTGAATAACACTTTAATAAGTTTACAACGATATATTTACAGCGAAGGAATTGTGCTAAGTCACAGAATGGATATGCTATAAGAATTTGGTATCGAATTCGTTATCAACAAGAGTCGAACTTAAGATTTCCTTAAAAGTGGAGAAAAAAACCAATAAAGCGTCATTCTCACTGAAAGTATTTGTTAATACATCAATATTGATATTTTAGTGTTTTATTTTTATTTGTTTATTACAAACAATAGCGTCAGTGAGTTAAATTGTTAGTTGTTTGAGAAAAGAGTGATTGGAGGGTGATCGGTGGTGATCAAACATTCACCCGAGTGCATAAGCATGCTTGCTTTTTGTTATTGCCGTAAAGCATCTGCGATATTGATACTATCGTTAAATGTTTTGATCGTGTACTTTCGAGGTCCAAAATGAGATCCAAAGGAAAATGAGATGGTGAATTTTAGGCCCAAAAGGAGAATGAGATGGTGAATTGTAGGCCCAAAAGACAGACCTGTTTATCCGTGCCCAGTTTAATATGGAATAAACCTGCAGGCCCATTTTAAACTATTAAAGTAGAAGTTCTTTTGTTGGAAAGAATGAAACAATGAACAAGTGCGTCAAACTTAGGTATGTAAAGTCATTTTTCTTCCAAAAGAACACACTTCTATGTTTAAATAATAAAACAAACTCTTTTATGAAAGTTATATGTCAATGGTTAAATTTTTGGTAAACGTGAATAGTTTTAGTTGGGAATTGTTGTCGGCATTTCAAAAATCTCATTGTGCACTTCAAATTTTTTATAATTAGAAAGAAAAATATATTTGTGAGGTGTGTAGATTGAGATTATTAAATTGTTAATAACAGTTCCCTTTAGTTACTCAGTTTCACTTTTTAATCTCCAAACGGACATTGTAATTTAACAAGTTCTGAATACTCTATTATTAACAATCCAAATTCAATCCACTCATTTTCTGAAACAACATTCTCTTTCTTTTCTCCTTGTTCAAGGATCCACTGTTATTTTTTTTTAATATTCAACAGACGAATAGTTGATCTGTAAATTAAAGAGTGACTATTCATTTGACTACTACAAAATCTGTCGAATATGTGTTTTTCTAGATTTAACTATTTAAAATAAAATTTTGGTGGTTTGATGACTCAAAATTGAGTATGTAAAAGCTTGTTCGTGATTAATTGGTACGACAATATTCAGCCTTTCATTTAGTTGAAAAATGTTTTTAGTTGGATTCGCATTAATAAGAATGAGGAGATATTTATAACGAGCAAAGCAATGATGCCAAGTTACCAATTCGATGTATCCGATTCCCTGGCATATGCCTTCACAACCCGCACACGATTCTCTCTCTTTTTTCTCAATCTCTAATTTTGGTAATTAAAATTAAATTAAAAAAATTAAAAAATAAAACTCAGACAGGCGAACAGGAACAATCCCTGTCGCCGCGCTTCGTGATCTTCGTCGGCGTTTATCCCGAACGAACAAATTAGCAAATCGCCAATGGAGTCGATACAAAGCAAAGTGGAGGCATGGATCAAGGAGCAGCGAGCCAAGCTCCTCAAGGTCTCCTGGGGCCCTCTGCAGTGGAGGATGAAGTGGCCCTGGCTCGGCAAGGAGGGCGACCGCGAGCGCCGCCGCAGGATCCACCAGGAGTACGAGCGCCGCCGCAAGCAGCTCCACGATCTCTGTGCCGCCGTCAAGGCCGACTCCGTCTCCGACCTCCAGGACATCCTCAGCTGCATGGTTCTCTCCGAGTGCGTTTACAAGGTCAGTAAAAAATGTGAAAATCTTTCAATCTCTCTCTCTCTCTCTCTCTCGCATTTGATCATAGATTCAAACACCTTGTGTGCAATCTTAATGTTGTGATGAAATGCTTCGGATAGAGACCTGCTTCGGACTTGGTTTGGGCTGTGAATAAGTTTAAGTCCGACTTCGGAGGACAAATTGTTTCTCTCGAGCGTGTTCAACCTTCTTCGGATCACGTTCCTCACAGGTGTTTGATTTTTTTCGTTGCGAGGATTGTTTGATTTGAAAGTTTGCTTCTTGGGGTCGATTGTTTTAGCTGTTTTGCGTTTGGGTGTATGCAGTTATTTGTTGGCGGAATCCGGTGATACATTGTTTGCTTCTTTCATTGGAACCAAGCAGTACAAGTAAGAACCATTTGAATTCGATTAATTCATCCAGAATTCTATTCGTTGCGTCGATATTTATTGTTTATTTGTTTGTTTGTTATTTTGCGAAGGGATGTGATGGCGGATGCAAACATATTTCAAGGTGCTATATTTCATGAGGATGTAGTGGAGGATACTAATGGGACTGAAACTACTAAATGTAATCCACCTGAAAAAGGAAAGGGAAATGGAGAAAATTTGTGGAATCCTCTTGAATCAAAAGCAAATAAAGCTAAACCTGCCGCACATCGGGTATGATTGTAGTCCCACGCACGAAATCACGTGCTCTTTTGTAATGCGCCAATATGATTTTCTAACATGCTATCTTTTCAAAATGTTACCTTTAGGGGTTCTTGGCTCGTGCTAAAGGGATACCTGCGTTGGAGTTGTACAGGCTTGCTCAAAATAAAAAACGGAACCTTGTGTTATGTGGTCACTCACTTGGTGGAGCAGTATGTCCATTAGCTGTTTTGCTAGACAGTTTACTTGTTAGTGATCACTTTGCTTGTTATTGGTTTGAGCTCATACTATCTTCGCTCTTTGGATGATGTAG